TTTTTTTTTGTTCATTCATTTTTATTTATACATTTATATCTTATTTTTTATTATTTATTTGTACGTTTGACACTTTCTTGTATAAACATAGAAAAAGCAGACACCAATTACTTTAAGCTGGCTGTGTGTGTTTTTTTTTGCATTAGCACTTATGACATCAAAGTAATGCGCAGCGGGTCCTGTGGTGCAGCTCCACTTCTGGGCTTATTGGGCCTTGGAGTGCAGCTCCACCTCCAGGTTCAAGTGTATTACAGTATTGTGCTGCCTGTTCGTTTTTACAAAATAACTAGGAATGGTCTTTTAATGTGACAATGACCGGTAGCTTATTAGAATTAAATTGTGTGAATGTAGCCATAAACTGTAGATTACCAGGAATGATGAAGTCGTAGAAGAATTCCATTAATTTCTGCAGAAGCTGATTGGCTTTTTTAATGCGCCCATTTCCTTCACCGAGGAATTCTGGTCTGCCCAATCCCGATTCAAGAAGAAAAATGTTCAGCTGTTCACAAAAATAAAAACAAGAAAAGAAAAACAACAACAAATACGTTATGTTATAGTGATTGGAGTACAAAAGCCTCAGTCAATTGCTTAATCCTGATGGGTTTGAATGCGCACCTTTACTGATTCATCTCCTGATGCGTGGCACAATTGAATGACCTTCCTCTTCTGTAGCCAATCCAGATCTTCCAGCAAAATTCCACCAAATGAACATTCAACCGGCACACGGCTGACAGGATCACTTCTGCCGGTCTCAACCTCCAACTCAAGACTATTCAGACTCAAACTTAGTCTATCACCTGTTTGCTGCAGGCAGAAGGAACCGTCTCCAAGCCCAATGGGAATCTTTGGATACAGGTTCAACTCTCCAATCAGTGCATTCCACCCTTGATCCAGAGCAGAAATTGGCATTACATTCAATTCTATGGTATCTGGAAGAGAATCCTGTGTGGAGCAGCTTGGACGCTCTTCTGATGGTCCTTCTTCTGTGCCTGCAGAAGATATAAAAACCTGGTTTGCCTCTTCCTGGTTCTGGCTGCTCTCAAGAACTGGTCCAAGATGACAGATGTCAGACGGTGCTGGGATTGACTCCAGAATGTCTTTACAATCTCCTTCATTTCTCCGATCTTCATGCATATTCCACTCCAGTCTCCTCTTGGCCTCCTCATCCATGCGCGCCGGCGGCGCTCGTTTCCTCCTGCTGCTCATCGTGGAAACCTGCTGAGATACAATGACACAAAGTTTCATTATTATCCTGTTTATTTACCATTTGGTACTAAGCTACATGAGACTTAACTCATTAAATGTAACACAGAATGCATTAATTTACAGAACGTATGTGTAAGTAGCAGATTTATACACCAGTTTAATTTGAAGTAGACATATAATATAAGATATATAGTGCGAATAAATCCACATAAGTAAATATGTCACGGTTAAAATACTTCACAATCACTTATTCTGCTGTAAACGTCAATATGTCAGACTGCAGCTTTAATTTGACTTCATTTTCTACAGAAAACAGTTGTGGTAAAAGATTGATATTAGTGCACCAACCTATTCACTTGGTAAATATAAATATATACGATTATTATTACATTATTAGTCCATTGAAAATGTTTCCGTGGAATGTCAGTATGTATAAACAATACAGAATCGCTATGATATATTCTATTCATTCAATCAAACGCTGCAGATTACAGATTATAAATATACCGCCTCATCCGCAGTCGAATCGTACCTTTGTTCTGCTTTGGAATGCGTTCTTATCAGCAGCAAGTAAATGTTATAAAATAACTTTCATAAGCTCCATAACGTGCGGGACATTTTCATGCCTTTATCCGCCATATTTAAAAATACAGGAAGCGACGTCAGAACCAAAACAATGCCAAGGCACTGTAACATTCTAAACACTAGATGGCGCTAAACAGAAAAGTATGGGACTATTCTCGTCAAGATATTTTTTGAAATTATAACTAAAAATTCTTGATAATTGTCTGATAAAAAAATTATAATTAATGATAATTATTATTATTATTTATTTACTACACAGCTGAACTTGGACTGAGCCTAATGTTTTATTTGTTTGTTTGTTCTTCGTTCAGTGGTTCTATCTATCTATCTATCTATCTATCTATCTATCTATCTAT